TCTCTGGTGGTCCCCAACAGCGTCAGGCTGCTTAACTCATATCAAAATCCCAAAGTACACAAAATAAGCAATTACTTTATTGGATCACATCCTTCAATAAGAGAGAGAGATGCTCCCAGGTCATCGAACCTGACACAAAACACAAGAAAAGGCAGCGACAACGGTAGATCCACATACCTAACAGCTCACTTAACATGAATATGATTTCCTGTGTCATAGGTTTCTTCTGCTTGTGGGAATTCAAACTTTCATCCTTAGAAAAGCATCCTGAACTACCCCCACAGACTACAGCCCCTTCAGTCTTCCAAACTACATTTTTATCAAGGCAGGAAGTGGGACCCCGGTCCCCACTAATCCCAAATCAGCATTTTGATCATTAAGGCAGAAAGGCATGCCTGCTTCCAGCCCCAGCAAATATTTACAGTATTCCATACAAAGTAAAACAGATTTAAAAGGATACAACAAAGCTCAACCTCTGAATAACACATAGTTTGGTGATGAGAGCACTCCCCTGGAAGGTGAGAGATGCAAGGTCAAAAACCCTGGGGGATGGAACTGATCTCCTATATCCTGGATGAGTTCTCTAATCACTGGGTAAAAAGCAAGGAACCATTTACTTCTGCTGCCACAATATCCTGAAAAGGCTAAAGGCAGAACTGACAGAAATCTTAATTAAAATAGGTACTGCACACCAGCACCAAGAAAACATTGATTTATGTTCTTCACTTTAAAATTTTTCTTGAAGAATTATTCATATATTAGTAAATATAGCCTTTGCATTGAAGTGGGACTTTTTTTTCCCCTTTGCTAATCAGAGTAATTATATATATGCACACTCAAGTAACTGTAAATTTCTACTAATCCCATGCTCTTTGCCTTGTTTGTCTTTCAGTTCAGTGCTGTAGACAGAGCCTCTGCCTACAGTCTGAGATAGCAAAAGCTAGAAGGAGGAAAACAAACAAGTGAGACTGGTACTGAAAGACAAACATATTAACTATAAACCTGATATTCTCAAGTTTACTGAGGTTTAAGTCACTTTTCTGATGCCAGATACTCACACACATTCATACAATGACATCCTTGTCCTCAGGAGGCTTCTAACAATCATTAAAATGGAATGTGGCTGGTAATTTCAGTTCCTGAAAAATGTAAGATTAAAGGCCAAACTCCATGTTTGTATGCCAAGCTTTCATGAAACATTTTAGACAGTACACACAACAGAATTTTATCTATAGGCTTTGCAATCTGTTGCCTAAAAAGTGCAATACTTTAAAAATTCAGGTAAATGGTTTGTTTTGCTTCTGTTGTAAACTGCCTCCCATCCTCCAAATACCTTGTCAGTTAAGGTCTCTCAACCTAAACTGAGCAAACCAAGTAAAAAATCCTGAATGCAAAAAATTATTTTACTAGTACTTGACAAGTTCTGTCAACGAGCTGTAGCTTCTCTTACTCCCTGCCCTCCCACATACACATCTAATCCAGCCAACTAAGACTTAAAAGCACTACCTCAGTCTTCTGGAAGAGACTATATTTTAATTCATGGCAGCAGCATGGTAAATGCTTAAATGCAACGAAAGCAAATTCTCAGACCTCTGAATCTAGAAAGACTTTTAACACCAACCAATTTGAATTCTCCCAGGAGCAAAGATGGCATTGTACATTTACCCTTATTCCAGAACCCAGTAGCTTTACTGATTACTCTGACACATCATTAGACTTAATTTCCACACCCTTTGCATTACATAGAGAAGTTTCTAAATATATCACCATTTCACTCATCAAACATTTGATGGCTAATACAAGAATCACTCCACTGATTAAAACATTTAAGAGGGAGTTCAGTTGGTTTTAAGATTAGTGACTCAATACCACAGCTTCTTTTTTTGTTCTTAGCTTACTCTCCCAGTCTGTCTCCTAATCATCACCCTGACAGGACACGCACGGATTGCAATCCATATTACTCTTATACAGCACTCTGGGAAAGGAAAAATTAAAAAAAAGGTTGGTTTTGGTGTAGAAATCTCCTTCTCCTTCTCTCTTCACATAGGAAGGAAGCTGTGAAAATCTTTTGTGCATTCAAAGGGCAAAAAAAGAACAAAGCAATCTCTATTGCCAGACTGGGCAACAGTAAAAAGGGAGGGGGCGTTACATCAGGCCTTGAAAAACACTAAACACCTACTAACTGAAGATAAACAACATATGCATGCTGCTGCGCCCTCTAAATAAGATCCAGCACAAAAATCTCACCACAAGGTGCTAGAAATTAAGGAAAGACCAAGTATTTCACGAAGTCATGATCTAGGTTCTGCTGCTTCCATATTTATCTGTTGCAATTCTTCCAACAGCTTGGTGCCTGAAGATAAAATCCTTGGCATTTACTAACATTATTCACACATGTATACATTGGTGATGGGCAAACATTTCTTCCCTTACGTATTGCCTCCTCTACTGTAGCAGGAACTTTTGTCTCTACCCAGTCCCATTTCCTTGCTGGAGTACAGACAGGAAGCAAAGGGAAAATGGGTATTCCACAACCTCTTTCCTCTCCCAATCCATTCCACTTGCAGTAAATTAATATCAGTTCTCATTTAATCTAGAAAATAACGACCAACCTTGTGATGCAGCAGGCACGTTCCTCTGTGGCTTGCAGATTTGAGTAACAGCCATATAATACGTAGCTCTCGTCTCTTCTATTATTGCAGGTACATGACAAAGAAAGTTTCTCTACTCACTACTGACAAGCATTTTATTCAAACACCGTTTGCTTTTTTTTTTTTTTTTTAAGAAGTGCATATCCTTTGAAAGAGTATTTCCATCTGGCACTTATCCCACATTTCATATTAAAATTAGTTTTTCCAGGATGACAGTATTCAGTTTTACCAGCAAAATTCTCAGTAGATCCTTTCACGGATAACACACATATCTGAAATACTGGGTCAGCAAGACTATTTAAAACATTAAAAAAAGAGCTAAATAAAAGTACAGATGGTTATAAGTGTGGGCATTACTGCAGGAAAAAAGAAGAAGAGGTTGTTGCAAGAAATAACTCACAAGAATAGTGACAAAAGACAACTTATGTATTTAAAATTATGAAAGGGATGGGGGGAAAGCGTAAGTACTGCCTTCTTATAATATCTTAATAAAAGAAAGTAATTGCAATCAATTTCATTTGGTAAGTAAAATATAAACCCACCTTAAAATCTCAGATTTATATTTTCAAAACAATAAATATAGCAAAATGAGAACTAGTTCTCATCTCTTCAAAATAGCATCATTATCAGAGATGTCAATCACTGAAAGAAGCCCTATTTTGCCTAAGTGTTTGACAATGCTAATGTCCAGTAGTCATAGCTTGCGAGTACATCTTTTACAAGGTATTTCTAACACATCTGAGACAATTTTTAAAAAAAAAAAAGGCCAAACCCAAAATAAACCTTTATCACATCTTATGAAGCTACAGCGATTCAATGATGCGTGTTGATAGTTATGCACAAAAAGAGGTATAATCAAGCCTTACACTCCTGGACAAAAGGGCAGCACTACCGGGGCCAGCAACCAGTTTACAGCTATACAGAGATAGGTTCATGAAAGGATTTTTCTTAATGTCAAATTATGTATTTTCAGATCTCAAATAAGGTATCTGCACAGCAGCTAGACACTACACCGAGGAACACAGAAAGCACTCATTCTGAGAAAGCCTTTGCAAGACAGAAAAAGGACCAGGTCCGGCAAACAGACAAAATGCGATCTGCCAACTTCAAAACCATACAACAGCACTAATTACTGGACACAATTCTACACAATTCTTTTATAGAAGTACCAGGTTCCTCAGTTGACAACATGCACATTTTTCCTAAAAGCACTAAACCACTAGCCAATTTTATGCTGAGCTGTATTACCATAATTAAAAATAAACAAATGCAAGATTGTTGCTAGAAGTGTAAGTAATTAAATATGCATCCACAGAGAAGAGCGCACAAGCTACAGAACAGGACTCCTTAGTCTGAAACTGGATTTTTGCTCTTTCCATAGCTCCCAGACAATGCTGATCACGGGTCAAACTGTGAAGTGACAGAAACCTCAAAAACATGAGGACACATTAGCGAATATAGAAACAAAATCAGAGCATTTTGACATGTAAGCCTCATACCCTCGCTCTGTTACAACCTCAGTACTGTCAGAAAGAACTACCATTCTTGTGATCCACCTAGAAAGCAGCGAAAAACAACTTAAATCCCAACTTCATTCCCCTAAAATATGCAACCTAAAGAAGAGTTACTCCTCCTCCCAGCCTCTGTTAAGAACCTTTCCTTTAGAATACTACTATGGCAAAAACACTCATGCAAAAAAGCAAGGGAGTTAAAGATCAAAATAATGTACAATTGACATTCTGTTTCATTTAGTGTTTTAAAGAAAGCTGACAAATCCCAGAGTAGTTTATGAATTTATAATTTCAATCTGCAACTAAAACACACTAAGACAATAGTTCATTAGACACATCTAATTGAACTACATTAAACTGCCTAAATCTGTACCAACACTCACTTACTGTAACAATACGTAGCTAATCCTTTAAGTCAAAAAAGTTGTCTTTTTGCTGTGGTTTTAAAGCAGAGCAGACCACTGCCTTAACTGAGGTCATGAAACAAAGTAAGAACATCTAAAAAGCAAACGACCAATACGTATATTGATTCTCAACAGAGAAGTGACAGAAGATGGGAGAAGGAGCTGCCAAAGTCTCAACATGTGGCATAACAGAAATCCCCACTGGGTTCCAAGTTTTGAAAAAGTAATGGGAAAGATTTGCAGAACCATTCAGAATAGGCATATTCCTCGCATATTGAATCCCTTCTCCACATTCAGCACACACCAAGGTCAAAACCCGAGATTTAACTCCTTTTTTAATAAGGATATCATAACTTTTTTCAAAAAATCTAAGAAACAACTCAGAATGGTATCACTGGAATGGATTTAAAATGCAGTAAGAGTATCACAATTACATTGCTGCAGTGGCCAGGTCAATAGAGCTGATGCACAGGTAAATTACTTGAGATACTTTGGTTGCGGTCCGTGACAATACAAAAAACCAGAATTATGTGAAGAAGCTGAACTCTGTCTCTTCGATCCATTGCCAGCTAGGCCCGAGACAGTGTCAGGACACCGAAAAAAATGCCCTCTACTTTCATCTGCTATACTTCATCTCTTCCCACAGGAACTGGTCTCTTCTTCCTCCTCATTCTATTTCCTGTATACCAAACAAGCCTATTGTCACTAGGTGAAAACACACACGCATGCCACTGACTTACCAGCCAGCCCACACTGACACAAATCCCCATTCACGCAGAGATCACCTGCGGCCTCACAAACGTGAGAGCAGGCACCATCCCTACTCCAGGCCCAGAGGACGGCTGGGCACCAGCTCCAGCCACGCAGAGATCCAGCTCACCTAAGGGGACCCCCGGGACCGAGGATGACAGCCGCACTGCCGCCCACGGCGATGCTCCCCGGCTGTCAGAGGGGGGGATCCTCACAGCCCAGCCCCCCCATCCCCTCGCTGGCACGACGTCCCTCCTCCCTTCCCCCTAATCCCTCCTACTCGGCCGCGCTTAAACCTCAGGCCACGGCCCCT